TTTAGGTCACTCGAGAGATCCCACCTGTCAGAGTTTCGAACAGTGATGTTGCGACTTCACAGTTATTTTCGATCAATGTGGTATTATCACAAATTCTAGAGAGTTTATCCAAATGTTGCTCACTGGCCGCCGTGGCTTCATTTCCTCATATTGGCTGGAGCACCCACGTGAAAGACATCGCCAAGATCAGTGGAGAATACTCTCCTCCTTACTTTACGAAAGCAAACTTTTTAATTGTGGGAGTAATGTTTTATGGGATTCCAGATTGTTCACCAACTTTAAATAAGGCATCTCCAGATTGAGTCAAACGATTTGGTGAAACCGAAGAATATTCCAAGGAATTTGGTGCCCAGTCCTTCCTCTTTTATTAATTGCCTCGTGAATTTCTGGTCTTAACATCCGCTATCTGCCCTGAATCCAAATTGCTGTCCACTGAAAATCTTCTCAAGAGGTTGTCTAGTCCTGGTCACCATAACTCAAATGAATACTTTAGCAGTAACGGATGGTAAGATGATTCAACGGCAGATATTTCAGTCCAAGTAACAGCCTCTCTTGAATATTGGGGCGATAATATCTTTCGTCCTATCTTTGGGGATTTCTATTTCTTTTATTACCATACCAATCCAAAGAGATTCTCTAATGTCAGCAATCCGTTCATTCAGGACTCCTTGATTAGTTTTGAGCTTCACCAGAGCCTCATTCTCCGTCCGTCCGTCAGTTTTAGTTCATGTCAGGCCTTTATAAGCAACTGAGGAGAATACTATTCACCATTTTTCGCCCTGCCAATCATTCCCTTACGCCGGACATTTCCTGGAGTTGACGAATCATATGGCAGGTTGAACTTTGAGGACCGCTAACTGAGCAGTGGGCTAAAATTTTCCGTTAACTATTTTGAGAATTTAGTGTATTAAAATTTTAAGCAACACCTTTAGCGTGTAATCAATTAATTTTTGTTCCATTTCTTCCAAGACAGTAGTCTTCAGTTGGCAAATCTAAATTTTTTATCTTTCGCAACGTTGGTTCCGGAATTGGTACAAACCCTTGTGAAGAATAACTGTTGTACTTGCAGGTCGGACATGAACGTTTGTTCATAGTCATTTGCCAATGGAAAGTCAAGTGCTAGTTTTGTTCGAGCATGCCACCGGTTATAATCTTTTTCGTTTAACCGAGTTTGAAGAAGTTGGAAACTTGTTACCTCAGGTAAGATTTAGATTTGCGCAGCTGTCATTTCGTTGATGTCAAAGTTTTCTTACCATATTACAGGTCGAAGCCAGCATACTTGATGTGACGAAATTTTCTCGACTCGTGCAGTTGATTGCTTTTTGCCCTTTCCAAAACGCTGCGCATGCGTTGGACAACTGCAATGCCGTATCAGAGGGTATGGCTGTTGTTCCAAAGCTCTGTAACTTTAAATTAGTATTTTGCTCAGGATTTAGATATTTTAGCTATGATTAATATCCGTACAGAATATCTCTGTTTTGCTTTTGAAGTCTGCAGTTGACTGTCACTCAAGACGTTCTCCGTCAGTTTGTGTAATTAAATTATTAATTTTTTTGGGCTGTGTTCATTGTGAAGAACAAAAAATCAAAACAGTTTCACGAGACAAAAATGGAAGTCTTTACAAAAGCGTTTTCCCTAAGACATACTACGGAAACAGTTGCTTCCAGCCATGTTCTGTTTCTTGTCGAATCATTTGCCTGTCAGCCGACCCTAAATGTTAAATGTGAGTTACTACCAACTCTTCCGCCTCGTTCCAGTAAAACGCTGTTTCTGATCCCTATTTGAGGCCGGAGTGATGAGAAATATACCAGGCACGTTATTCCTGTAAGCAGGTAATAATGGATGAAATTTTTGAACCCCGGACTTGGATTTCCGATGTTGTCGTGTTGTATGTATTGCGATGTATTGTATCACTGTATGTAGTATATGGAATGATGATTTCCCATAGCAAAATATTTAAATAATGCAAATCAAAAAAGTTTTTTAAAAAGTTATTGCCCTTCATAGGACCTTTATAATTATATGTTCGTGCATTAAGTATAGAGAAAACACGGCTAAGCAAAAAACAAAACACCGTGATTTTAATATTTACCGTTCAGTTTCTTCCCAAGGGTTCCCACGCATTTCTGATGTAATTTATTCAGTCTTTTGAATCCTTCCTCCGACTTTTCTTCAATGCATCTGATGATTCTTCTTCCCCAGTCAGAGGTTAGGCGACATCGTTAAATGATATCGTCATGCTTCCTTTGAGAATTGATCCCAGTCTTGGCCTCCATTCATTTGTTCAGAGTATATCTCGCCCTGACAACTTGTTTTAAGATATGATTAGCTCCGCAAGCCCGAATATCATCATCTCGTTAGCCACCTGTTTCAGGGTGCATCATAAACCATCACGAGTATTGTGGCGGCTTGGAAACTGCGTCGGTCTTTCGAATTTCTACCTTGGAAATTGCCCTCCTTGCATGGGTTGAGGTTGAGCATGATAATCTATGCATCGTATTATTACATATCGCATAATTTGTATCCATCTTCCAAGACTTAGAGACGTTGAAATACCGC